ATCTGGGGTCCTAAACTGGCGGCCCAGCCGGGGGTGCAACAGGATAGGCAAAGTTGCCAAAGGTAGGGTTAATCGAAATGGCCGAACGCACGTTTCTTTCAAAACACTACCATAGGCGTTATGTTCAAAACCGGATCCTGGGCATCAGATGGTGCCTCAACAATATCTAGAAGTCTGGAAAATAGAAGACGGCTGGCTGACTGCTTAGGACACTGCGAGCTGGCACACAGGTCACGGCGCCAGACTGGCAGACTGGACAAGGCGTGAGGCAGCAGTACGATCGTAACGACTTCCACCGCGTAATATTATGTGTTATTCGACTTGTTGGGGGCTAGTGTCCACTAAACCACTGGGCGCTTGGCATTGCATATATAGGAGTCACTACTACAGAGGCCGGGCCCGGGGCTTTCCAAACTACCTACTCAGTATGAAAATGACCTTTATTCATTATTCTATCCGACTTTAATTTAATTGTTTTCCTTGATTTTCCGTTTCGATGATCAATGGTGATGCCGAACACCGACCTCGGTGAAGGTACAGTTTGACGCTTCTTCTGTATTATCAATTTTCTTTTTTGTAAAGAAAGACAAACACAGGCAAACACCAACACACAAACACATCTACTACTCCCACCCACAGCCCGGTAAGTACATGGGTATATCGATCCCTTCTGTCAACCCGTCAGTCACTCGGGTCAAATCGTGAGCTGTCCCGCCCTCCTCGTGCCGCCCTCAGCCCCAGCGTGCCGGCCTGTCGGCGGCCGCCGCAATTTCGGACAGCGTCGCGTGTGTGGGTCCGTCCGGCGCGCGGGTCGGCCGGCACAATACCGCCTCCATCTGACCTTCATCTGACCCGGCCAGCGCCCCGGGCGATCTTGTAAACAGCCGCCGCCCCGGGACGGCGGCCGGCGCCATCAGAGCCACCGAAGAGCCGCGAGCGAACGGACGGAGTAGGCACGAGACGGCCTTGGATTAGGGGTGGGAGCGACAACACACGCACGCAGCGACGGCTCGGTTCACCCGGGCCGGGCCCCAGCAAAACAACGCCGAGCAGCGACAGCAGAGAGAATCCAGAACTAGGTACTGGCTGCAAGCAAATGCGTATAAAAGATCTGTTGCAATGCTTTGTGGCCGGCGGCCGCAAAATATCGTTTTTAAGAATGAGAAGAGTGGGAGCTGTTTCCTGTTTGCATGGAAGTGCACGCTGGACGCAACAAGAAAGGAGTTGTATGAAATGGGACTTGGACCGATGTGGAAGAAATAAAGAAAGTCTAAATTGTCTAAGAAATAAGAAGTCTAAATTGAAGTCTTGCTGTTTTGCATTAGTTATTTTTTGTGTATATTGATGAATGATGTGTAATGTATGTGTGCGGTTTGTGTATTATATGTACCGACTTCGGTATGCAATAAACATTATTATTATTATTATTATTGAACTATTTAGAGATGATGTGCAGAAACGTTGTCCTTCGCTCCACCAGGAGAGGAGAACGATGGAATTAACAGCTCACCAATCGCCCCCGGGCTAACAAAGGAAAGATCCAAATACCTACATTCTAAAGATGACGGACTGAATTATTATTAGCCTTTGTAATTGTGTGGGTTTTGGGTTTTATATATCACAACGTCAATGCCCTGGATATCACAATGCCACTTCCAGTCACGTCTCACCGTGACATATCTATCTCTCCGGTCATGAATGCCATTTCTTCACCGGCTGCAGAGTCCGCTCGTTCACAGCACGCTCTTCCGCCCACCCGACCGGTCACCTTGGCCCGGTCGGCGGCTTCACAGCCAGGCCCCAGGTGATCAGCCGTGTGGGAAGCGCTCAGACGCGCCCGCCCAGGGAACTCCGACCGTGTCGAGGTCTGGCTGGGCGATCCGGCACGCTGAAGTGTCTGTGAATTGGTGGCGCGCGAGCACAATGGTGGCTACTGACAGACTGCAGACGGTGGCAGACGCCAGACGGTGACTTTGGTAGCGTCTTTCGTTAAGAAATGATAACTGATTTAAAACGGCATGTTTTAACCCTCGCCCATGTAGGGGGGGGGGGTTGGTGCAACCCCCCCCTGAGGCTTTTCGGAAATAGTGCAAAAACGGCGGCGCGCAGCGCCGCCAAATTTTGGGTACCTTATGGGGCAAACCTTGCGCATCTTTTGATAAAAAAATTTGATCGGGTCATGTCAGGTCACGGAGTTATGACGTCACAAAGGGAACAGCCTCCGGCCGGATTTTCACAAACTGAGTGCCAACGCCTGAGGTTTCCTGCCGGTGGTACGGACATCGGTTGATGGATCGTGATGAAACTTCCCATGCATGTTGGGGCAAGTATTGGCTATCATATGGTATAAGAAACTTGACCGGGTCAGGTCAGGTCACGGAGCTATGACGTCACAAGAGGAACAGCGTCCGGTATTATTTTTGAAAAGCGCCCGAACCACTATTTTGCTAATTCTTGTCACCTCAATGGGAATATGCAGCAATATTAGCTTCTATAGGGAGCAAATGGACCTCCCAAATCCAAAAATACAATCAGATTTCAAAAATTTAAATTTTGATTTTTCGAATTTCTGCCGCCGACTGTGACCTTGCCGACTTCCGGCGCTCCCAACGCGCCATTTTTAGAGCTAGGTAAACGAAATACATACCAAACGATAGAGAATTGATCAAGGAATACGATAGTGAAGGTTTCAAGTCGATATCTCCCACCGTTTTGCCGCAATCGCCGCGGAAAGTTGAAAAAGTCTATTTTTTCCGAAAATTTGACATTTGACCGGTCAAAAGTAGGTCAAATGTTGACCTAGGACCAAAAATTATACCACCAATCGCGAGATCTCGGCGAGAGCAATCCGTTGGTCTTTTCCGCTAAGCTCTACGACGCTCCGTTTTCAAACGCCAAGGGGGGGGGTCGCACCCCCCCCCCCTGCATGGGCGAAGGTGGCAGATCGCCGTTTACGGGCGAGGGTTAATACATCGATTCTCTTAGGTAAATTTCTTTTTTCTGAAATTCACGTTCTCAATCTCCCTGCACAATATACAATATTGTGCCCTTGGCCTTGCCTGTAATATAGGCAAGGCCAAGGGCAATGGTGCTACTGCGGGACTCAGCGCAGGACTACACTAAGCGTCTGCAAACAAACCCGTTTCAACCGCAAAGGTTCGGGAAGTGTCTATCTAGCCGGCGGTGATGTGATCAGCTCCTCTGTCATTTGGCATTGAGACGTGGGCGACCCGGCCGCTGTCGGGGGAGCCTCACCTGACCACGTCACCGGGGTGACATCAGCGTCCCGAGCCAGCCACGGGGTCGGCCAAATTCGGTCCGGGAGCCAGAGCGCAGCGGGGGAGTGGTGTGCGGACCGTCGAACTATCTCTGCGGCCCGTGCGGCACATTCATGGGCAGCAGCGGGAGCAGTGCGCCGAGCCGCCGACCGAACACATCTGTCTGTGCGGCACATCCAGGGGCAGCTGAGGGGAGCGACTCATTCAGGAACTGAGAACACTGACGGTGAGGCACGTTAGTGTTCGGATCTGACGCGTTCAGTTTACATCACAACTATGAAAGCCGAGGAGTGGCTGGCTGACGAATGGCGATCTTTGACTTGAAGGCGCCGAAGAACAAAGCTGTCGGATCGACAGTAAACCTTTTCGTGATGAGCTCCGCTCAGAGTATTGACCAGCCAGTTGTTGGTGCCTTGTCTACATATATGGTTATGTCTTGCATATCCCGTGCATCAGGTGCTTACCAGAACTCTTACGCTGCTCCAAGCGACCATGCGGGTGAGTGGACTTATAGGTGAGGCAGTGACGCGGTACCCGCAGGCATTCACCCTCCCCCCTTCCCCCACCCGGGGGAAAGAAAGGTCCGGCCGGCCGGCCAGTGTCGGTTGGACGCGTGCCCTGGAGCCGTGCCAGCCGGGGGCCGGGGCCGGACACCTCTGTCGGAATAGGCCGAGGCCCAGCAGGGTTCGGAAAGACGCCACCAGATGGCATTTATAAGACGATTGCCAGAAAGTCTTTGATGTTAATGATTTTCAACTCAGTCCGGGTTTAGTGATTAAAGCTTACTAGATAGGTAAGGGGAGAGATGAAGCTCCCGCAACCATGGATATTTAGTGCCAGAAAGCTTTGGTCTGACCACTTTTGTAGTATTGTCAGTGCTGATGCGCAGTGCATAACCGTTTACTTTCAGCAATAATAAAAGTTGTGTATTTGTGCAGTAGGTAATCACAAAGTCGCATCTTTCGCATCTGGGTTGTCCGTATTTATAATTGCGCGCAAACGTAAATATACCAATATTGAATATACGCTAAATGTATACCCCGTATACCCAAAATACCTGGCACGTACCGAGCTGGAGAAGGTTAAACAATATTTAACCTTGGTAACCAGAGGGATTTTACAATACAATTAGCAGAATCGTACCAGTTTATGTCTAGTTATTTATTTAGGAGCCGTATTTGTGACAGACCGTGCTATATATTTTATTCTTACGTTCCGTTACTCTGAACGTTACGCTGACGCAGTGCACAATCGTTCAGACCTCGCCAAAAACTTGTGAAAATTGACACTGATTGACTACGAACCCGATTAGCATGCGCCACCATCTTCACAAATCACATTCGACACTTTAAAGCATTTGGAACACGGTGTGAAAAGCCACGCACGAAGCACAAACCGCGTGAACACCACAAAAGCTCGCGTCACTCTCGATTGTGAGCCTTTAAGTCGATATACGAACTGCAAGCACATGAAACACTCCCGCCTCTCACCGACGCTGCCTGTGGACACTGCTTTCTGCCACCTCTTTCACACGAATTCGCTCGAAGGAATTGCATCCAAATGGCTGGCCTTTCGGGCGCTACACATTGACATGCACCTTCAGCCGTCCCTCGGAGGTAGACGGACTCGCCATTTACTTACTCAGTGGCATCAGCCCTTAAGGTTTTCAGTTGGGCTGATATTTTGACTGACTGGGACGGCATTGAGAGGCAACTCGATCGTCTAGCGTCCTCCCAGGAGCGCTGCGATGATGGCCGAGAGCAGCAGCACGGCCGACGGCCAGCCGCGCTCCGAGCCGTTACACATGTCCGTGTCGCAGTAGCAGCTGTTGTCCTTGCACTCGTTTTTCTTCTTAGGGTAACAGCCGCGAATCTCGTTGGCGCTGTCCTTGGGGTCGGTGATCTTCATGCAGGACTTGTCGGCCACCACCGTGCACTCCTTCAGGAACTTTTTGTCGTCGGGGCTGCCGGCGTCGAACTCCGTGCAGGGCGGGGCCGAGGTGAGCATGCTCAGCGCCGCGCCAAGAGACACTCCAGGAATGTCTCTGGTCGACTTGCAGGTGTAGCACTTGAGTGCCTGGCTGGAAGCCGCCAGGCACACCACAGCGAGGAGCACAGCCAGCTTCATATCGGTGGCGGGGTGGGGAGCTCGGAGACGCGTGCTGCCGGCGGTGGCTGTCAGAGCCGTCTGCAGGGCGGGGACGCCGGCGCCGGGACCGAGCGGCGCAGACCGCCGACCGCGCCCGCGGCTGCAGCTGACGTCAGCCGCCCCCGTCGGCGGCGCGGCGGTGTGCCAGTCCAGCCCACCGAGCGCCACCGACCGGGCCCCCTCCAGCGGACAACGGAGCGACTGAGAGACAACAGTGGACTCCTCTGGTAGACATAGGCACCCGCGGGGCACTTCAGAGCGTCCAGTCGTAGGCAGGTGCTCCGTTCCACCCACCGCCATCACCTTTTATTACGCTTAATCCTCTCGACAGACAAGTCATCGCATCTGACTTTATCACCTGTGCGTTTGGGAATTCGGTACCTACCCCCTGACGAATCCCCCTCCAGGCTCCCTGGATCCGCCTCTGCTGGGACGGGGACCGGGCTGGGGTGCCGGCGCGGCGAATGTCAGGCGTCACCTGCTGTTCCGGCCGTGCCCGCCGGCGCGTGCAGCAACACAATGCTCGTGCCGCTCCGTGATTTGTGGAAACATGTCGTGTCTCCTGTTTTCTTTTGACAATTCTAAACAATGCAAAATACGTGCTGGTGAGTCAGATGCAGCGCTGAGCGAAATCAGAAATCTTAATTTTCAATTTCCCAGAGTCACGGTTTACTGGCGAGGGCGACCATTGTTTCAGCAGCACTCAACCTATCAAGTTCTTGCGATTTTTATCGACATAAGAAGTTCAGGTATCTTGCTATGCTTTCAGCCTGCGTCGTCTATTTAGGTATATTGCATCAACTGCGCATATAGGTATTATCTATGTTTACCTCCTAAGTGCATATAACAGATCAGATGATCTTCGTGACAGCATACACCATCAACATGTTCATTGAGCTGAATTTATTCTTAAGAATGCACCGTGCTCAGTACAGGTACGGCGCAGACCCCGCCCCCCAAAGATACCCCACCTTCTCTGCTTATTGCTGGAATCCGTAATGACTCACGCGGGTATTTATTTAGTTGTCATTTTCACACATTTTTCCACGGCCACGTCTCTTCCACGTGTCATGAATTTTAAGACGTTGTTTAAAAATTGCTGCAGAACGTTAAGCTGGATTCCTGGCCTAACTCGCGGGTATTTTGGTCGTGGTTCATAGCTATGCGCATTTACAATAGATGGCGCTAGTGGTGAACGCCTGAAGTTAGGCTGTACCGCATAGCCTCCACTAAGAATCCCACCGAAGCGGGCGGTGGAACAGCGGACATTGCGAGAGCAGATGACGTGCCCAAACAGTTTTACACGAAGTTCCCCGTTCACAATGATTTCATCTGACCAGCAATGTGATCAGTATCAGTTACCGCATGGCATGCACGTCCGCTGGAGCCTGGACGCCAGCAGCAGGTGCCGAATCGGGGTGAACCGGGTCCGCAAGGTTTTCCCCATCGCGCTGGTCGATTTCGGTCCAAAGCTCTCCTGGCCGATCTATTGAGGCTGGAGAGTTCAATGTGTTTTGGTTCGTGCTACTCTAATGAGCCAGGTGGCAGCCGGCGGGCGAAAGGGTGAGGGTCAGTGAGAAGAGTACTGTGAAGCGAGCACGCCTGACCAAGGACTCTGAGGACGGTTTCTGCTGCCATCTGTCTGCGATACGCTGAACTTGAGCTCCAGCTCTCAGCAGCAGACTGGGCATATGCTCTGTGGTCGTGCAGGCATGGTTGCTGCGCTTGCAACTAGCACCACCTAGGTCATTAACCGAGCTGGTTGTGCCAGTAGACCGTAGCTTTTTAGAGATCATGGACTCTGAATGGAAAAACTGGTGCTTCCTTTGGAGGCATGCTCACACTCAACATTTTTACTTAATCGATTTAAGCATACTCTTAAACTTAACATTTTTTGCTACCTAGGTAGGTGCTTAATTTTCTGCGATACCTATAACCGAAATGATATTTTTGATTAATTTGTCAGTATTCCGTTCAATCAAACGAAGAAATAAAAAGCAGACGGTCGAGCCGCGCTTAGCTTATTAAAAGACATTACGAGTACGTGCGATTCAGAGGTAACAACAATGGAAACGGCTCGGGACAAATTACTAAAAAAAAAAGTTGTAATGCTTTCCTATGGATTATAAACGACAGCAGCACATAGACAATATTTGTGAACAATTATATTAATATAACAACTCAGACTCATATCATGACTGCTTATGCTTATGCGATTGTTATGAACAGCGTGTTTCACATATATTGGGACAAACAATGGTAGTTACAACAGCTAATACATCATAACACGCCATCGCAAAGCGCAAACGTACACATCTACCCAAATATAACTTATATTTCCCATCAGCCAGCGACTTTCACAGCTTAGATCAGCTGACTGATAACTAATGAAATCAACTATTGATGACAATAAGCACATCGTCCAGCCTAGCGTATGCCGACAACGTCGGCGACATTCTGTCTCAGGTAGGATAGGTAAGGCTGACTGGCCATCAGAGAGCTCCCAGAAGCGCTGCGATGACGGCCGAGAGCAGCAGCACGGCCGACGGCCAGCCGCGCTCCGAGCCGTTACACAGGTCCGTCGGACAGTAGCAGAACGGTTTACTGCAGTTGTCTGGCTTCGTCAGCGGAAAGCAGCTGCGGATCTGATTTCGCCCATCATTCGGGTCAGTGATCTTGACGCAGCTCTTGTCGACCAGGAGGGGGCATAGCTGGATGAAGGAGGGGTCCGGGTTGTCGGGGTCGAATTGTGTGCACGGTGGCAGGCCACTCATCAGGCTCAGCATCGCAGAGGGCAGATCAATGCCCTCGATGTCCCTGGCGCCGATGCAACTGTAGCATTTCAGCGCTTGACAGCAGCCAATGACACTTAATGCGATTATAAATAGGCGGCGCATGGCTTGGAGTTTTGTCCAAAGATATGATGCTTTTTCCAATTTTCGATTAACGATTCCCTGACAAATAAAGCAAGACCCTTTCCCGATAAGAACGTTTTAAACGTTCTCTTTGTGTCTCCACGGTTTAGCTGTATGGCAATAACACCTTTGTTCGCTTCAACTGATTCGTATTTGAACAAACTTTGTCTATGGCAGTCGCCAAAACAGACGAGATTGGCATCGCTCTCAGCAGTTTCTTGTAATCTTGCGATTCTTGGGTTGTGTCACCCCTGCTACCCTTGCAAAGTTGCTCAGCTCCTTTTCAACGACGATTGTTGGGATTGTTGTTTGAACCGTTTTAACCTCGAGACTTCCTATCAAAACCTTGATCAAAATTGCTCGATTCCAAGGCCAATTCTACCCGTTTGCAGCTATATCGCGCTGTTTTTACTCGACAACCTCATCGAGAACTATTCCATTCACGCTATCCTGAACGTTATAGATGCTATGCGCGAGGCATGCTGTTCGACAGAGGCATGTTGAACCGTTATTGTTACACAATAAGCCTCATGCACCAAAATAACTATACAAATATAGCCCGCAAATTACCTAACTTTGGTTATATGACGGTTCAGTTGATCAATTTCCAACGATTCGGTACGCGGCAGTTGAGAAACGATAAAAGTTTTATCCCAAACATACTTAGTGCACAGCAATATAAAATATTGCAAAAAATATCACTAAGTTGCGCCTAAAAGAGGTGGATAGATCTCATCTAATACAACCATAGCAATGGCGTGGATTCCAAATTGCAGAGGGTGAATGGATGAATTTATTGAATAATGAAGTCCTAGGAACCCACATGAAAAGACAGGTTTCGCTGGAACGCTAACGCTACGACGAATGTTACACGCAATATGCTCAAAATTACCGTGTATTGGCAGAAATATCATGTCATTAGCAATCCATCACAGAGGACAGCGTATTTTATTCAATCAGCGTGCATTAGTGCTGTTGAGGCCTGAGGGTTATTTTTGTAATTATTTCACTGTTCGAGGGGAACCGGCATCAGTCAACCCACGTTCAGTGCATCTGACCTTTCTATGATTACGAGCGAGCGAGCGCAGCGAGCGAAGCGAAGTCTTTTCAATATAAGGGAAAAATCTCAGTATGAGCGGCCCGGCCCGGCCCGGCCCGGCCTGTAACGCTTTTGAGAGGCTTATATCTCAGCAACCGCTGGACCGATTGCCCTGCGGTCTTTTTTGCTGGGTAGCCCTATCCCTTCTACCCCGTAATTGACTACTTTTGATACATCTCAGTGACCGTCGTGGCACGTGCCACGTGAAAAGTCAAGGGTGTTCAAGCAGTTTTGCAAAAGTAGTGATTTTGAGAGGCCCATATCTCAGCAGGGGCTTGAGCGATTATCTTGCGGTAATTTTTATAGGGTAGCTGCATCCCTTCTACCAAAGGTCGGATACTCTTGATCTATGTGAGTGACCCCCAGTGCACGTGCAAAATACAACAATAAGAGGTGTCAAATTTGTTCCCATTTCAATAACTCGGTAATTACTGGGGCGATTTCGCTGAAACTTGGCATAGAGGTAGGCACCCACCAGGCAATGCATTCGCATGTGTTTCGGTTAGGGTGCTACTGCACGTGCGCACGTGCAGGGGGCGCTTCCAGATCTCGAGAACGGCTGGACCGATTGCGCTCAAATTTGGTACACGGTTGGGGACCGGTTAGTAGGGTGCCGTGCAAAAGTCAGTTTGGACCCCGTTTGCACGTGCGCACGTGCAGAATGCCGCTTTCAGATCTCAGGAACGGCTGGACCGATTGCGTTCAAATTTGGCACACCACTAGCGACCGGTTAGAAGGGTGCTTTGCACAAGTCCGTTGGAAGTGCCCACTCGCCCTTCCGCACGTGCAGGGCTCACTATCTCGCTCGCTCGTTCTTCGCCCAAAAGGCGTTTTACTGGTTAGTTATTCGATTGCATAATCATACAATATGGAGTAGCCTGTCTATGGTCCAGCATATGCTAGAGAAGTCATGCAGATTGGTTCACAGAAGCCATTGAGCAGACGGTACGTTCACATGAGCGCGTGCACTTAAACGCCTAACAACCCGTCCCTGTTCAAAACGACATCTACATATTCAGCTACACCTCCCGAACGTTCTCACTTCAGGGTTCAGACCAATTATCAAAGCGTTTGATCGGGGCAACGACATATCCCAACACTGACACCTCACAATCAAGTAGTTCAGCTCCAGCACATGAGAGACACAAAGAGGCACTTGAAGCTGCAGTGTGGCAGGCCGTTGGACGCATCCAAAGAAGGTTTCGTTCACTTCTCGGCCCAGGTGAGGTCGAGTTTCAGCATCTTCCGCTACGTTCAGCACGTCTAGCGTCCTCCTGCGAGCACTGCGATGACGGCCGAGAGCAGCAGCACGGCCGACGGCCAGCCGCGCTCCGAGCCGTTACACAGCTCCTCAGTGCAGAAGCACGTGCCGCCGTCGCAGCCGTCCCGGGCCAACTGGAAGCAGCCGCGCGCCTCGTTGTAGGGGTCTTTCGGATCGGTGACCTTCAGACAGGCGTCGTCGTCCGGACAGTCCTGGATGAACTTTCTGTTCCAGTCGGGGTTGCCGGCGTCGAACTGCGTGCAGGAGGGCGCGTTGATGAGCAGGCTGAGCGCGGTGCCGATCGCAGACACGTTGGCGATCGGCCGCGGGCTCTGGCACTTGTAGCAGTGGATGGCCTGCGCGGACGACGCCAGTCCCAGCACGATGAGCAGTGCGACCAGCTGCATGGCTGCACGTGGAAGCACTGGCTGCTGATCCAGGGGGCGGCGAGGTCACTACCGCACGGGCCGCGGCGCGCAGGAGATGCGGCTGGCTGGCTGCCGGCGACACGAATGGCGGCGCCCGCTGCGTGCAGCGCCGCACTGCAGAACACACAAACACCCCGCACCCCTCCCCACCCCGCGCCCGGCCGGGGACTGGCGGCGGGCGGGCCGCGGACGCGGCTGCAATGGAATCCTGAGGGCAGCCAAGGCCATCCGGCTGACCGGTCTGGACGGACGCTGGTGCCAAGGGAGCAGGAACAACGCCCTCCCGCCCAAGTGTGACAACGGATTGCTATTGTATGGAAATGGCCTCCATCGCTCAGTGCGTCGGTCTATTGAAGGCTGGTGGGAGTGAGGGACCGCGACGGCAACTGTATACCTACCCGGGGGGGGGGGGGGTAGCCACATACATACCATAGCCCAGGCCAATTGCGTCACAGCGTCCCACTCGCTGTTTGTGTTTATATGTTCATGCTTTTGCGCATGCAGTGATTAATAGCATCCGTCAAAAGCGACTGAGAAAATCCATTGCGTCACAACAAGGAACGATCATTCTGGTGCCTTCCTCTTTTCTGTGTTATGTAATCCTTTCGGTCTAAATTAATAGGCTGGTAAATCAAGGCCGCTAGCATTGGGTGAAGTGGTAGGTCGGAAGGCCCGTGGAGCTTCTTTTAGTTTTATCTCGAAACAGAAAGTTCCTACACCTACATAGTGTCGTCCACACTAGAGCTACATCGAACGCCTCTGCTTTGTCTGCCACCTCAATGACTCACTTCCTTTGTTGAATTCAAACCAGCAATGTCACCCGACTCGGTAGGTATGCACGCGAGTCAGAGATTCGTTGGAATCCGGGCTGTTCCGTTGACTACAGTCGCAGACGGCATGTTCGGCCACTATCGAGCCCTTCTCGTATGGTGCGCCGGCTCGTGACGGTCCTTATCACTCTCAGACATCCATACCGGCGTGCACGTTCTGGAGCGTTCCTTCCGTGACGGCGGCGGCGCAGGTCGGCGGGGACCCGCACCTGTGACGGCCGCCGCCGCGCTGCGCTATTCAAGGTCACACACCGGAGCACACACCGCGGCGCGGCGGCAGCGGCGGTGACGTCATGAGAGGTGAGCTGCCGCGGCGCGCAGTGCAGCGGGCGGCGGGCAGCGGCAGCGTCCGCCAGTCCGCCCGCAGCCGCCGCGAGACATGGAGCTGCCCACCCTGGTGGCCGTGCTGGCGCTGGCCGCCTCTGCCGGCGCCCTCCAGTGCTACACGTGCCAGAGCAAGCGCGAGGTGCCCGGCTACCAGCGCTCGGTGGACCGGCTGCGCGACCCGCTGCACAACTTCCCGCCCTGCGAGGAGTTCGACCCCTACTTCGAGGACATGAACCGCAAGTTCATCCAGAACTGTCCGCCGACGCGCAACAAGACGTGTCTCAAGATCACCGACCCGAACGACTACACGAACGTGCTGCGGACGTGCCACCCGGTCGGCAAGCCGGTGACCAGCTACGACTCCTACTACGGCACCTGTACAGAGCTGGGCGCCTGCTACTGCGATACGGACCTGTGTAACGGCTCGGAGCGCGGCTGGCCGTCGGCCGTGCTGCTGCTCACGGCCATCATCGCAGCGCTCGTCGGGGGACGTTAGGGTGAGCGCCGGACGTGTCGGTCCGTTCTGCCGGAAATGGCGCGCACCGGTGGCGTTTCTTGGCCTCCTCCAGGCGCTCAGGCGAGCTCCAGGGAGTGGTCGTCGCCACGATACGCTGCTGCGCTGGTAAGGACGACAGTTGGTGACGTGCCGCGCGCGACATGCGCTGTTCTAAGCGCAGCGCGCGGTGTCGCTGTTACGTAACCTCCGGGGGCGTCCAGACGTGCAGCGCCCGCGGCGTCTTCGAGACAATCGCCATCGTCATCATCATCATCAAGAAGTACCTGTGTGTGCCACCGGGGGCAGTACCTCTCTGCGTACGCACCTCCGGGCTGCTCTCGACCCGGCGGGTCAGCAGGGCCGATCCGTCGGCCAGAGACGCCGTTTGAAGCGCGGCCGTTCGGCGGACGCCATCTTGTGATAGAGCGGCTGGTCGCCGCGGGCTCGGGCCGGCCCGCCGCGCCGCCGCCGCCGTACCAAGGCCATCGTCGTCTCCCGGTCTGGTCGGCCCGGGGCCCGCACTTCCCGCTCCATGCCGGTCGACAGGGCGCCGGAAACTTCCGCACAGTTCTGCCGGTGACACTAAACTGAAACACGAGGTTCTTTTAAAAGATAGCTGCAGGTATCCTACAGGTGTCTTTTTTATTCCAGCTGAGCTCAACCGAAAGAATTCCGTGTGCATTTAAACGTGTTGCATATTTAGTTGCAGGGTTTGAATGTGTGCACTGTCTCCTAAAATGAAAAGGGAATCACTGAACCGTGAATGAAAAAATGCTGAGCAAAGGCCGTTCTACCCTAGTCCCTAAACTCAACACTCAGAAAATCGAAGGCCTTTTATTATATGCAGTTTTTTGTAAAACCGAGGCAAAGGTAATTGTGTGCTTAGGGGCCTATGATTTTTTAGTGCATATACATTATTTGTTAGTTTTGAGTAAGTCACTCACATACACATCCGTTTATCCTACTGTTCATCGGAAAAACGTACCTACCTTTCAGTCCTGCAGCTGTGCGCGCTAGCTTCATCCTATACCACACATAACTGCTTATTGCAACGTGCTTGCTTACCGAGTGATCGATGAAGCGTTGTGCTTCTATAGAAGCACAACGATTCATACTCGATAGCATAAGGCAAGACCAGCTTTTAGTTAACACATGAGCTCTAGTGTCAAATCCATCATTGTGAAACCAACTTCGGATTGTCACAAAGCATGCGGTACCTAATTGTAGTAGCAAACCAGTGCCTCTGGTAAGCCGACCATACGACTCCACCGAGAGTGGACTTGTATCACCCGGCCATCTGTGATGTCGTGTCATTCCTGTGTCAAACTGTGTATGCGTTATCGAATATCGAACCATTTGATAGATAAGTGCATTGTTTGTATAATTTGCTATCCAAAGTGACTTTGGATGTGAAATACACGCCCTCCAAAGCTCAACATGATTTGTCTTACACACCGAGTACGGATAATCGATAGCTGGTGATCTCAAGTACCGATTACTCGTAGTCAATATTACTCGGCTTTATACTGATTTTAAAAGGACCCTCACGGCTCCCACCTTCGCAAAAGTTATTGAATTGGCATAAAAGTGATGTCGCTCGGTTCATAAATATCAAAAATGAATATCTACCAAATTTCACCGAAAAATATTCACTAGTTTTCAAGATATTAGACTTTCACTTTTGTTCACTTTTGGGGCCTCCGCTGTTCCTATGGCGTCATTTGGAAGCAATAATTTGGCATCCTTAAAGTGCGGCAGATGTAGCGCGCAAAGCAGTGCATGCCACCACGTTTTACCGATGGTCTTAGCATAAGATTTAAAAATCGTTAGATCCCCGCTGACGTCACAAATTCTAAGGGGGCATTCAAATGAATTAGTCCCTTAGAATCTGAAAACTGCAAGTTTGATATTCAATATCTACGAATTAAAGCTTAAGCATTTCTCGATGTGGTGAGTGCCCTAACCGGTAAGTGCAAGTCAGGAACCCCAATTTGGCTATCTCAACTCAAAACTAATGTTAAGGTGCGATGGTCACTTTAACTAATTAACGAGCCGAGCACGTTTCATACAATTACTCGACACTCGCAGAGTAAAATTCATTGGGTACTATCGGAGATGATGATAACATATGATGTGTTTAGGGGTGCCACAAAGCTTTAGCCCTCGCCCTGGCAGGGCATTTTTCATAACACGGCCTGGCAGGCTGGCAGGGGGGGGGGGTGGAGTGGGGGTAGTAGGTACACCAAACAAAAAAGCACCAAGTGACGGTTAAGTAGGGGAGAGTGGGGTAATTTGGCCGCATTTTTTTAGAAAACGATGTAACTAAAAATCGACAACACATTTCTGCATTTTCTCAACGCTGACAGGTGTGGCATACATCTTACTTTCTTGGACAGTAAACTTGAAATGATTGAGTAACTACTTATATTGAAATTGTGGCGTATTACAAAGGTCTGCAAAGCGGCCAAATTGCCCCACTAGCAGGGTTATTTGGCCGGGGGTGTGGGGCAATTTGGCCGGTGTTAGTTTGAGGCCATGATTTTTGTTATAGGCGAGTCAGCTTCACATTCAGCAATGACGCGTATCCTACGACGCATTTAAAGCATTTTGGAGGTTGACTCAGCCGTCACAGGGGTCGAAAATAGTTAAAATAGCGGCTCTAAATGCGATGACAGTTTTTTACTAATAACTTTTGAAGTAATCAAGTTAGGCCAAAACCAAAAGTACCATCGTAATTCTCTCGTCATTCCGCATCGAAACATGTATGTGTTGACCTCGAGAGGTCAAGGTCAAGGACAAGGTCAAGGTTGGCTTCGGGTCACGTTACGTCAGGTCGCTTGACCTCAAGGTTACGTGAGTTCAAGGTCATCATATATATCATTCGATGCGCCTTGACGAGCTGAACACAATGAAACCATTTGCGCGGCTGTATCTTTTTTCTGTAAGTTTCTATTAGCAAAAAAAGCGTTAGATAACCTTTGATGACGTCACATGCCCTTACAGCTGTCCAATAGGAAATATGGCATCAAGGTAGTCAAAGTTGGTCATGAATTATGTCCTTTATGGTATAATTGACCATGACAACTCGGCCGTCCCAGCATAGTGACTCTGAGCGCACCGGCCAAGTTGCCCCGCTAGTCCCGGCCAAATAACCCCACGCTGCCATTCTGAAAATTTTTGTCTATAAAGTCGTCATGGCTGTACAGAACTAGATGAAATTGCTCTTGGAACCGCTGAACACCTTCAAAAATGGCGCTATAATGTTGGAATTCGTTTACAGCCCAAATACTACATGTTATACAAATTTTTAAACGGAAGTAAAAGTTACCATTTTCTAACGTAATTCACCTTTTATTAATTTTGAATAAAACGAAGAGGGGGAAAGTTTTGACATTTGTTCTCGAGTTAGTTCTGCCGATGACAAATGAATAGAGACTAAAGTTATTTCATTCACTTTTATCAGCTTTCGTACAGGTGGGGGCGGCCAATTTACACCACCGGCCAAATTACCCCACTCTCCCCTACTGTGGTTTCAAAGCACAAAAGTGATAAAACGAAGCGGATGTCTCCAGTATTTTCCGAATTTAGTATTTTCCCATAGGCATTACGACGTAATGACCTCTGACTGAGCTCAGGTTAGTGACATCAAAAAACCCGAACTATATCTTATACAACTCGGTGAGCTTAGCACATCTTGAAAGTTTGAAGGAAATCAGTCCAAAACTGTGAGTTTGACAGGTGCAAAAAAAAAATTGAAATTTGACCATCACCTTGTACCGGTTTTTCTGACCTGGTGACCTGACCCAAGGTCACCCGGACCTGAAGTTTTTAGGTCATATGTAAAATGGTTGCCCCATACCCAGCCAGCCTTCTCAAATGGGGCCCATATGGGCCCCAAGTGGGCAGCAAACTGGGGCCCATCTGGGCTGCCCACTTGGGGCCCAGATGTGTTTGTCATGGGCGTCCAACTGGGTCCCATATGGGCAGCCCAGATGGGCCCCATATGGGGCCCAGCCGGGCACATATGGGTCCCACATGGGCTTTCCCAGCCGGGACCCACATGGGTATAATTGAAGAATCCCACATGGGGCCCATGTGGGTTCGAAATGGGACCCATATGGGGCCCAGCCGGGGCACATATGGGTCCCACATGGGCTTTCCCAGCCGGGACCCACATGGGTATAATTGAAGAATCCCACATGGGGCCCATGTGGGTTCGAAATGGGACCCATATGGGGCCCAGCCGGGGCACATATGGGTCCCACATGGGCTTTCCCAGCCGGGACCCACATGGGTATAAGCGAAAAATCCCACATGGGGCTCATGTGGGTTCGAAATGGGACCCATATGGGGCCCAGCCGGGGCACATATGGGTCCCACATGGGCTTTCCCAGCCGGGACCCACATGGATATAAGCGAAAAATCCCACATGGGGCCCATGTGGGTTCGAAATGGGACCCAAATGGGGCCCAGCCGGGGCATATATGGGTCCCACATGGGCTTTCCCAGCCGGGACCCACATGGGTATAAGCGAAAAATCCCACATGGGGCCCACGTGGGTTCGACATGGGACCCATATGGGGCCCAGCCGGGTCCCATATGGGCTTTCCCAGCCGGGACCCAAATGGGTATAAGCGAAAAATCCCACCTGGAGCCCATGTGGGTTCGAAATGCGACCCAGCTGGGACCCATACCCAGCCAACATTATTACCTTGGCCCCACATGGGGCCCAGGTGGGCCACTTGGTGGGACCCATGTGGGCAGCCCATGTGGGGCCCACATAAATTTGTCCCTGGGTAAATGGTGGGGCCCACCTGGGCTGGCCCACGTGGGCTCAAGGTGGGTACCATATGGGGCCCACCTGGGCTGGCCCACATGGGCTCAAGATGGGTACCATATGTGGCCCACCTGGGCTGGCCCACATGGGCTCAAGGTGGGTACCATATGGGGTCCACGTGGGCCAGCAGATGTGGGCCCTAGGTGGGCCCCATGCTGGCTCA